TCTATCTATCTATCTATCTCTATCTATCTATCTCTATCTATCTATCTCTATCTCTCTCTCAACGCTGGTGTAAGTAAAGTCAACCACTTAGTCCTTATCCTCCATCAGTCAAATGCATCCTGGGCATACTGTCTGTCCAGGTTCAACCTCCTGATGAGTCGGTGAAAGTCTGAAACGACACAGTCTGGCACAGTCATACTTTTTTTTCAGTGTATAGCGAATATGACAACACACACACACACACACACACACACAAACACACACACACACACACACACACAGCGGAAATGAAATAAAATAATTTGGGGTCCTTAGGGCTTTTTTTTTGGTTTTTTTTTCTTAGGGTCTTTTTCCCATGCCCCTGTGGTTAATGAATAAATAAAGAACATCGAAAATTTCAGGGCATACGGCCCACCTCGTGTGGCTGAATAGTGCACACATGAATTTTTCAAGGGGAAAAAAGAGAGGGGGGGGGCGGGGGGGGGGGAAATGGTGCACACATGTATGTAGCAGCTCATGAGTTCCAATTCGAATACACTATAATGTTTTTTTTCTTTTTAATACAATACAATGTTAGTGACTAACCGTTTTTTCTTTACATAAGGAGAAATAAATAAATAATAGAGAGCAAAAAAAAGGTGAAGCGGCCTAGCTCGGCTGGTAGAGCACGAAAGTGGAATTCAGGAGGTTGTGTGTTCGATTCCCCACTGTCTCCATTTCGAGCCCCCAAAGCCTCCTGCGTCTCACTACGGGTTCACCAGCTGTGATAGTCCACCTGCCCCCGTGGGTAGGGGGTAGGATTGGCCATCCATTGCCCGAAGCGGCTTGGGTGAGGCGAGGTGGCGACGTTGCGGTCTAGGTCCGGCGGCGGGCGCCGCCACAGTTGAGTCACCATGCTCGACTGGTCTCATCCGCCTCTACAGCTCCTGTCCGTGGGGTTAGGCGTGGTTATGCTGGCGTGCTGAGTTGAGAGTGCGTTGGTGTGCGGGTGTGGCGTGTCTGCGGGAGGATGCTCTTACACCGGGTATGGAGCTTGATCAGCATGCTGAAGCATGTTCGATCTTAGGTACGAAGACTTTGGTTGCGAAGCTGTTGAAGATGCCGTTTTAGGCGCTGACTCGTGGGGTTGCCATTTTAGGCGCTGATTTGCAGTGGGAGTTGGAGGAGCATGAAGAGGATTGCGCTAAGTGTAGTTTTAGGGATATTTCTGTAATTGTCTGTTTTGTATGCTAGTTTCAGGGATATTTCTGAAATTGCCTGTTTTGTCAACTTGGTGTTTTCGAGTTTTGTTTTCGAGTTGGGGTGTTTCGATTTTTCCTGTGTTTCTATTATTCCTTATTTTAGGTTATGTGTTTTGTAGGATTTTTCCTTTCGTGTTTTGGTCTGGATGTTTCATAGGAGTCGGTGTTTTGCAGGATTTCTCCTTTCGTGTTTTTGTAGGATTTCTTTTTCGTGTTTCGGTCTGTGTGTTTTGAAGAATTTCCCTTCCCTTTTTGTTATTCACTGTTTTAGCTTATGTGCTTGGCAGGATTTCCTTTAGTTTAGTGTGTAGGATTTCCCTTTTCGATGTGTGCCGCTGTGTGTCCTTTCCATGGCTCCGGGGTATTTGGGGCATTGACATGCCTGTTCCTGAGTGCTCCGGGGTATTTGGGGCATTGACATGCCTGTTCCTGAGTTCGATGCTTGGTGGGAGATAGGGGTGTGCAGGTGGTATTTTCTACGACGCCGGGCTTGAACTACGAACGCATTGGAAATAAGATAGGTGGGTGACCCTAATTTGTTCTGTCGCCGGCCTTTGGTTCGCGGTGGGGTAATGACGTGGAAATACTTGGATACCCGTGTTGGGAGTTGTGTTGGGGAGTCTTCGATTCTTCGGACACGTTGTGTTTGGTGCTTCGAATTGATGTATCAGGTGTTTTGGTTAGTGTTCAATGGGAATTCCCGTCATCTGGAATTGGTAGTTTTTATTTCGTGTGTGTAGGGTGTTGTATGTGGGTTCGTTGTTGGTGGGAATAGAGATCGTCTTCGTGCTAGGGCTGATGCCGTGTTACGGTAGGGATTGTGGTGACTGGGTAGGTGTAGGGATTGCTTTTGAAGTGGGATTAGAGACTGCTTTCGTAGCAGGGCTGGTGCCGCGTTAGGGTAAAGACTGCGGACACTGTGTATGCAGGGATGGGGCTCCGGGCTCCTGGTCGGGCAGGACAACCTGTCGTCCCTGTTTTTTTCTTTTTTTTTTTTTTTTTTTTTTTACTATCTTGGTCATGTAATTGCCTTGGGCAGAGGGCCCTGTTAATAGAACTGCAATTTCGAAAAAAAAAAGAAAAAAAAAAGAGGTAAGTCTACGGGTGCTTTAAACCACCAGTACGCGGCCCCGGCCTTGCTGAAAAGAAAAAGAAAACTGAATTTTGGAGGCTCAGCGCCGTTGATAAATCCAATCGGCGGCGGGCGGTGGCGGGCGGCCTCCGAAAAGGGCCGGCGGCAGACGTACTGGTGGTTTAAACCACAAGTATACACGGCCCTGGGGCACGGTTCCACTAGCACACGAGTCATGGCCTAGTGCGACGCCTGCGACACTCCAGAAAAACGAAGAAAACTCCAGAAAAACGCAGAAAAGAGAAAAAAGAAAATTAAAGTGGTGACTTCTCAAGTCCCAAGGTGGGGACGAGCCCGACCTTTGGAAGTGCTGCAAAAGGCTGTGCCATCTTCTTGAACGGTAGAATGGACAGTGGATGAATGTATCCGTCGCAGAACGTAGCCAGATATACTTCTTCCATCTTTCTTTACTGGCTGAGGGTGCACCTATGACAAGTGCTACGTGACGATTGCAGTCCCTGTCTCACGTACCACAGAGAGGGAGTGGAGTCCCTTAGTGTGCCCGACGGGACTGCCTCCTGTGACGGTTCCCATGTTCAAGCGTGAAGTCCTTATATTTTGAGAAAGAAATGAAGTACTCGAGGGGCTTTCTATTGACCGGAAAAGAAAGCACATTTTTTCTTTTTTTTTCGACAACCACCAATCAAAAACAGACTTGGTATTTCTTTTCCCCACATCCTGTTATTCACCAAAAAAAAAAAAACAAGGAAAAGTAAATTAAGACACAAATTTTAAATATACAAACATCTTTATTTTGCTACCCTCGGATTTCAATGCATTTATTTTGCCTTGGGCACTGGGCCCGGTGGAAATAAAATTCCAAGGCGTTTACAAAACAAAAAAAAAAAAAAAAAAAAAAAAAACTGCGGTGGTAGATGTTGGGCAGCTCATTTCTTCTTTTTTGTTTTTTTTCTTTTTTTCTCTTTTGGGTGGCTCAATTCTCGCCCATCGATTTCTCTAGTTTGTATTAGGGGCTCCATTCTCCACACTTGTCTGCTACGCACGCGGAGCCCGGAATGAGCCACGTGTACGCAGCCCTCCTTCTGTATAGGGGCTAGGTGTTTGCTCCCCTATCCATTCAGATGGACACCTTTTTTTCCCTTAATTCGGGCCAAGTGTCATCCTTGAGGGCGTACTCATACTACCACTCTGTTAAATGTACCCGACCGCATTTCCGGCCGGACTTAAATGCATCTGGCCGCAATTCCGTTCAGAAATAAGTCAAAATCCGTTCAGAAATAAGTAAAAAAACCGCTAGTGTGAAGGTGCCCTGCATGCGCAGGGGCTCCATTTTATTTTTCATTTTTTTTTTTTTTTAATTCTTTAACTTTCACTATATTATTCTCTCAAATTCTTTCACCTTTCACTACCAACCTATGCTTGCAGTGGAGAGGTGCCCCACCAGCAAGAAGGATTGGATTAAACGTCTGAATGTGGACGTGTTTGTAGAGAGGTGCAGAAAATCAGGATCGATCTGCTTTTCTGCATCTCCGCACGAAACACATCCAGATTCAGCTGCCTAATCCAATCCTCTTAGCTTCCGTCTTTTCCCCGAACATAACGCACCCTGACAATGAATGTATACACGCTATCTTTCCCGTTCAGTACAGCCATAAAGGGGGTGCGTTGTGTTCGAGGGAAGACGGTAGTAGGACCTCGCCCCAGGGTCCCCACAAAAAAAATAAAATAAAAAAATAACTGATTAATTCTGATATGCGTTACATAATACGTATATGTATACATCTATACATATTTACCGGGCAGCTCTGTTTGACGATATATATATATCGTATATATCATATATAGTCAGACAGAGCTGCCCGGTAAACCGTTGGCAGAGAGGGAGAAGGGAGAAGAGGACAACAAACGAGGGGCTGTGACAAACGGTTTCGTCGGAGTTTCACCGACTCATCAGGAGGCTGAACCCTCTATACATATGCTGAACCCTCTATACATATATTTTGTTGTCCTCTTCTCTCTCTCTGCCTACGGTTTACCGGGCAGTTCTGTTTGTGACGATATATATGCACATGTCACATGTGTGTGATTTTTGGATTTTACTTTCTTGTGAAGTTCGGCATTTGGTCCACAACCAGATTGAATGGACGATTAATACAGTAATTATTAATCAAATTCATTTGACATCATCTAAAATTCCTCCTAAGGCGCAAGCAGGAGCGGCCACTTGTCTCACGCGCGCACAGCGCAGAGCGCTAATCCCGCTCTCGTGGCTATGGCAGCCATGGCGTGCACAGCGCAAGCATGGCTAAGCGCAGGCGGCAAGGCCAACCCGGCGCTCGCCGCCGTAGATGTCCCCGTGGGGAGAGGAAGGGGAGACCTTCGTTCTCCATCGTGGTCGAGAGTTGTGGTTATGAGAGACAGAGAGCGGCTATGGCGCAAAAGTGCGTGCGCTGGCGCGACGATGATGATGCCGGCGCAAGGACGCGCGCTATGGTGGAAAAGAAGCACCCGCGATGGGGATGCAGGGAAAGCGGCGCGCGCGATGGGGCAAACACGGCGGCAGCGGCGGCTCTGGCGCAAGAGCGCACAGAATGAGCGATGCGTCGACAAGATCCGGACAGCAGCGGCAGCTGCGCCGCTTTGCGCGGCTGCCGCGGGGGGGGCGAGGGGCTCTTCGCCGCGCTCGCGGTCTCCCCCCATTCCGCCGTACCGCTCGGTCGATTCGATTGCCCCACGCCGCCGGGACTCGCGCATCGACGTGGCCATCCCCCGATCCCGACATACAGGCATGTCGTCGTCGTCGTCTTTCCGGGTCCGACTTCTGGTCGACCCGTCGACACGTGTCAGGCCGATTCCGACCGTTAGATCATCATCCACGTGGCGCTTGCTCAACGAACGGGGGAAGCGGAGGCAGGGAGCGGCGGGGAGGAAGGGGAACGGCGGCGGATCTCCTTCCCCCACCTGCGCGCTTGGTTGGGACTCGATATTGCTAGCGGGTCTTAGCCTGATGATCGAGGGGAGGCGGCGGAGACGCGCGCCATTGCTTTTGTCATCTAGCACTACCGCTGATGACATCAGCAAAGCGCGCCAAAAAGTGCAGTCACACGCGCACGCCACGTCATCATCCTCTTCTCCAAACCCTGGAAGCCCATCTGACGACGAGTTGCCACAGGAACAACATAAGAAGACAGACGAACGAAGAGAGGAGGACGAGGGAGGAGAAGAGGAGGAGGACGACGAGGGGAAGGCAGCGCATCATCAAGAACAGCAAAGAGCTTCTTCTTCTTCGTCTTCTTCTTCGTTGTCGCCATCTCCATTTTCTTCGGTCTCTTCATCATCGTCTTCCTCCTCATCATTGTCATCAACGGCTGACGTGGATTACCTGCAAACAGGATCGACTCCAAATCCCGTGTCCGATGGCCGACTGCAGCGGGTGATAACGACTCTGTCCAAGGATTTTCCGGCGGTATACTCGCGGGAATTGGATTGGTCAGTGTATTCCAAAGACGTCATCTTCGTCGATCCAGTGGTGTCTCTCAAAGGTCTGTTGCAGCACCAGGGCATGTACATCGTTCTGAGAGCGATGGCGTGGGCGTGGTTCCAACCCGGGAGCGCTGTATTCGAAATAGAGGAGATCAAGGAAGTCGACCCGCATGCTAAAACCCAATCGCCGTTCGCGCACAGAGAGTACACAGACACGCTGCATCCAAAGCGCGCCATTGGGATGACCTGGCGCACGAGGGGGAAGACTAGATGGGGCACCGTCGCCGACTTCAGCGGCGATGATGTCTTCAGAGTAGGAGCAAATGGACTCATCATCAGCCACGAATCTTCATGGAATGAAGATCCTGCTGTCGTTTGGAGAGAGGTCTTCCTCGGAGAGGAACGCCGCCGTTAATCCGCCGTTAATCGCCGTTAATCAACGTTAATCAACGTTAATCAATCAAACAAGACTTAAGTGGGTGGGTGTGTATTTTTTTGTTTTCGGTGTGTGTGTGTGTGTGTGTGTGTGT